GCAACCAGAGTCACGGAACAAATTAAGTTTGTAACCCGAGGTACCACTGTACATTCAAACCAACTTGAAGCAGCTATTTTGAGAATTCTTCAGGCTCTGATCTGATCATTGTTAGATGCCATGTTTTTCTGAAAAGAATTTTTATTTAAACCTCTGCAAGGAAGGTTGGTCTTCTGTTTGACAGAGCAATAGAGTCTACCCTGTGAAATCTCTGGTGATGATAGGTTTCCTCTGATGCAGACTCTCTGCATCTTTTGGACTGTAGCTGCACAATTTTCTAACCTTGGCTGTGGTCGCTGATGGATTTGAAGGCCTAAATATACTTTATGTCTTTCATTTTTGGTGCTTGGAAACCATTTGCATCTCAGGAAACTGAAGAAGTGTTCCAGGGTCTTAACATTCCATATATTCTCTTCTTCAGTCCTAAATATACCACCTGCATGCCTTCAGGAACAAATTTAAACATTCTGGTCATGGAATTTCTCACACCAAAGTTTCTTGTTGATAGGGGATTCTGGAGAGAACTGCTGTAGAGTACACAGAGGTTGTTGGGATTCATCAAACGCAAGGATAAATCTATTGACTTGTAGCCATGACAAGTGTTTAGTTCACACATTGCACTGAACTATAATGTGGTTTGTTTGATGTGAATACAACTCAGCCATTGCAGTTTATAGATCATGAATGGATGATGTAAACATAGACAATTTTGACTTATTTAACAACAAAACTGTTAAGTAAGCTGTATTGTAGCACAATATGGGAACTGTCTCCATGACACTGAACTGCTTCTGCAAACAGGGGAAGTTAACAGAAGAAAGTCTGACTCGCTCAAATGTAGTTTGCCAGGGTTTAGCTTGCCACTTTGTGTGAATCGAGGCACAGTGGGTTTACGGATCTTTCAAAGAGGCACGGAGCTGTGGTGATGAAGATCTTAATTACATAGATATCTACTGAATGACAATCTCTGCCAAGTATGGTCCTTCCAGGAAATTCCTAACTAGTCATATTAACAACTTCCCTCTAGAAGATAGAGGAAGGTACAAGAAATTAGCCATCCTTAGCCAGATATTAATATAGAAAGCTTAGCTAACAACACAAAAGTAGCATATACTTTAGGTGAAAGTGACCATGTAATTCAGGAGTTACTGATTTTAAGGAGACCTCAATGTGAGGCCACTCGGATACTTTGCACTTCAAGAAAATAGATTTCTGGAGCAGAACATAAATAGGATTCCATGTCAAGAGAAGCTAATGGGAAAAAAAGCTTGAGTCTCTGAATTGGGCAAAAACAAAAATCAAAATTATCTTGATAAGTTAGGCAAGCAAGATGGAGAATATCTTGCTTGTAAATTATATGGCCGCAAGGATTTTGAATTGCATTGAAATATGAGCCAGTTGTGACATGACTCCATGAATAGCACATATGATGTTAGGCTGTATCAATATGATCTCCAAAATCATGGGAAGTAATTACAGATAGTCCTCAACTTACAACCAATCATTCAGCAACAAAGTTACGATGGTGCTGAACGAAGGGACTTATGACCCGCCCCTGAGGTAACAGCCATTGCAGCCCCCTGCGGTCATGTGATTGCAATCTGGGCATTTGGCAACCCATTTGCACATCTGACCAGTTGCCAAGCACCCCACTTCACGTGATCACCATTTGCAACCTTCCCTGCCAGCTTCCACAGAAAGTCAGTGGGGAAGCTGGCAAGGAAGGTTACAAGTCGCTGGGGTAAATCTCCCTCACCCACGTACCCTCCCCAGCCCCTCTGTGCTCGTGCTGTGTCAGCCACTCCTGCACCCCTGCATATACTTCCTGACCTGCACCACATCCCGATGTGCCCTCTGATCCCCGTGGCTCCTCTCACACACTCCTATGCACCCTCCCTAACCCATACAGTGGCTCACACCCCCTCACACTCCCCCCTCACCATGCAGCAGTCACTTAACTGCCTGCCAGCATGGGACTTACAATTTCCTGCTGGCTTCCCCACCAACTTTGGTTGTGGGAAGCAAGCAGGAAGTTGTCTTGCTTAACGACCCGCGATCCTCACTTAACAACGGCAACCAAGACTACAGATATTGCCATTGCTAGGTGATGCGGTCGTGCTTTACAACTGCATCCTTAGCAACAGAAATTTCAGTCCCAATTGTTGTCGTAAGTCGAGGACTACTTGTATTTCACTCTGTCCAACATTAGTCAGACCTTAAATATTTTCCATTTCTTGAAGATTCAGACAAAAAAGAACAAATAGTACCTGAAGAGATGTCACAATGAATAAAGCCATCACCTATTCTGTATTGTACCAGGATACGAGTTATGGAATAATGACTTTAAGATCTTTTTTCAGGTACAGGTGGGAGCCTGAAAAAGACATAGCTGCTTTACTCAGCTGCAGAGGGGTCCTCTGCCTGCACAAGGTCCAAAGTGCCTCTTCAAAGTAATTATTAAAGGATGAACATGCCAGACATGTAAAGCAAATTGCAGTATTCAGCAAAGCTAGATAAGAATAATAATCTGCCCCCTTGTGGTGCAACACTGGAAATATCCACTGCTACTAATAGGGAAAGGCTTCAATTATTGACTAGGCAGGCAGACATATTCATTTGTGTAGCAGAAGAATGGATATTACAACCCCTCCAAACATTAAAATGATCTTGAGTTTTTGTTGTTGTTTTTGGTTTTTGTTCTTATACATTCATGGGGGATAAACATTTAAATCTTGATAATTTGCAATGCAAACTTAATCACTGTTTTAACCATGGATTGTGGAATAGGTAAGTGACAAATAAAATTTTACCAATGCATGTTGAAAAACAGTAGTGCCCAGTTTCACTGAAATAAGACATAAGCAGACATAATAAAACAGATATAATAAAGACAAGACTGTCAAACAAAACTAAAATCACCAATTTAAAAATGAAGTTTATTTTAAAAACTGCCTTCCATTTGAGTATGGTCATCATGCATTTTGTATTCCACAAAAGTCATGGAACAGCACTTGTTAAGAACATCAAATAACTATAACGTTTCTCTACCTTCTCCAGAAGTTCTACTAGCATCTCATTACAAAACCATGATGTGCCACATGAATATGCCTATTTTACAACTTTTATTCTGTGATGGAATTTGGGCTTGAATACAGTGAATAAAATATGTTGCATGTACAAAAGCCTACCTGTTCAAAAATCAACTATGGACAACACCAACAGCTAAGATTTCATACCAAACTTGCCTGTTTCTATGCCTTCCCCAAGAAGTTCATACTGAAGAAATGTGCCTGTGCCTTGCAAGATTTTAAACCTGATTTACACCCAAGGAATCCTGGAATGTTTGATAATTTCAGAATACCCAATTTCCCTTTTCCATTCATATGCATATTTATCTGGATGTGTTATACAATCTAAATTAAAGCAATCAGATTTGAAGTGGCTCTCGCCTTCCTCCCTGCATTTCCAAAGGCTCAACCAAAACATGAGGAGTCATAATATAAATATCTCCAAAGTCTTCCTGCCCAGTAGCAAAATAAGGGAACTCGCAGAAGAGTATCTAGGGCGGTTTTCCCTAACCTGATGCCCTGTAATCCCCAGAATTCTTAGCCTGCAGATCCTGGAACTGGTGCAATCCCAATGTTTTTGGAGAAAACCCATTTGGGAAGGCTTTTCTAGTGAGGATTGTAAGACAACTTAAAAGCAAACTGCACTTTCTTTCAAGCTTACTAGAACTTACAAGAATACCTTTTTTGTCATATTACTTATCAAAGACCAGGGGGAAAAAAAAGCAGAATGAAAAATTAACTATCCATCAGCTGAAAAAGTAGATGGAAGTTCTAACTAATGTGGCTTTCTGAAGCGGTCTCTCTTTAGGGAAAGATGTGGATTTAAAAAAAGGAAATTTAGAAGGCTGGGCCAGGACCAAAATAGATATCTTACGCAGAATATTTTTGTCAACCAACTTTTTCTAACTTTTGCATCCTCCTTCTTTTAAACAGTACATCCTAAAGTTAAGCCAAAAATTATTTTGCATGTATCTTGCTATTATTACAGGTGATGTTTTATCTGCAATGTACACTAGAGGACTGTGGAAAGAGTTGTTGTTCAAGAAACAGAAATCGAAGAAAATTCTTGGATTCTATTATACAGTTGATAGTGTAAGAAATTCTGTATCAGGAAATTGGAACAGCAAGTGGAGAAAGATTTTTTCGCTGCACACTAAATGATTCCCAAACTAGAACATACCAAATTTAAGCACTGAGCCTCACAACTGTGCTGAAGTACATGCTACAAAAGCAAATGTGAACTGAGTGTGTTAAATCATAACTGTTATCTCTCAATCAAAATCTGGTAGGCAAGTCCAGAAAGCTCTGTATGATTTATTCTTCAATAAAAAAAAGTACACAAAGAAAAACACACATCTCCACAACTTTGGAGGTTGTATAAAGTATCACTGAACAAAAATTAAATGAAGCCAATTCTTTTAGGGTTTGCATTATTGTGCATCTCACTATAAAACTTCAGTTTCCTGCAGAATTTGACTGGTTGTAATAAGCAGCTGGTAGGCATCTCCTGTTCATCTAACTGGAAATTGTTATAGGACCGTTCTTTGCTGCAAAGAGCATATTTAGCCCCATAACTTAACCACCACTCCTCAAAAAAAGCAGCCATTTCAGAGGAAAGGACCAAGAAAGTACAAACTACGCAGTAATGATATTGTTTTTTCCAGAACGATGGTTATTCTGTGTTGGGACTGTGTGATGTAGAACTTGATGGTCCCATCCAACTGTTGTCAATGAGTTTTTATTCAAGGGAGACCACGATAAGCCTGTTACGAAGTCTCGATGAGACCGATTCCTAAAACTGGGGAAGATAGGAAACATTTCTGCTGTTACTTGAGGAATGCAAGGTGAGTTCAGAAAGAAATAATTATTAAGACCAGACTACCTGCAAATTACTAGAAATGGGGAACAAGAGGAAGGATACTGAACTTCTAAAATGAGGAAGAGCTGATGCCTGTAAGCATTCTACTTGGGGTATCTGCAAACACTGACTTTGCTCCATAAAAAATAAGGCAAGGAGCAAGAGCTTTTGCTTTGCTCTGTTCATGGAGGACCACTCTCCATGTAGCAAAAGGTAGGATGACATCACTATTTGCCTCATTTACAGGAGGGAAAACCAATGAAAGGGCTTCTGCAGGGAAACAAGGCTCCTCCTCACTAAAGTTCCACCCATTTTCCCAGAGATATGCAGCATGTTGGGGTATAGAGAGAAATCAATCCAGCTTTCAGTCTGCATTCAATTCCCCAGTTCTAGAATGAGCTTTCATACCAAAAACTAAAGGAAGATGTTCTTGATTTATCTGAAATATTTATAGCTCACCCACTATCCAGAGGATCTTCAGATGGTGAAACACTAAAATTAAAGATAATGACTCCAGGGAATGGAATCCTCAAACATTTCTGAAGCATCAGTGTAAGCATGAGTTTCTAGTTTTCCCTCCTTCTTGCCTAGAACAGAGGTGGTAGCTAATCTGTACTCAGCCTACAGACATACTGCCTCCCTGCAATGCAGTCTCCAATAGCTGTTGAGGAAAATGCACAGTGGATGGAATTCTTGCTTCTCCTATTGTCCTACATGCAAGCTGCTTTCATTTTGCAAGGATGGGTCTAGATAAATAGACCTATCTCTGTTCCATTCTTGCATGGGTCCATTAACCTGGGTGACCGATTATGAGGCTCAGGTGATTCTTGCCCTTGGCCACAGAATCCACAAAGGATAAAGATGGGCATACTTTATTAAGCTTGGTCCTGACCATCACTTTAACCAGAGGTGACAATTTGGATGTGAACTGCTGTGCACAATTATTTTTTATATACAGTAAATGTATGCAGCTTCTACACCAAGATGGCAATCAAATCACTGAGAGCCTAAATGATTACATGGCAGTGAAACTGAGGGGAAAGCAAGAGAGAAGTGGATGGAACTCTTTCATAACTCACACTTCTGAAAAACTGGAATCAAGAACAACGACGGAACAATCTTCGCTGATAGAAGCCAGCAGAGGTGAACTAGAGGAAGAAAAAGCTTCTATTAACACGTATATTTTTTTTTGACAAAGACTTTGTTTAAATGTCACAAAGAAATGTAAGAGAGCTTATTACCAAACGTATAAATAAAAGAAACATGTCATAGCAAAGATAAGCTTACAATCTGTACATTGAACCTGAGGAAGAAACAGAAGCAAATAATTATGGGATCAATGTGTGTGAGCGCACACAGAGATCTATTTATGGCTGATGTAGGAAGGGCTAAGAGATAATGTAAAAAATGTGATCCAAGAGGAGAGGCATAAAAGAGATTGCCTGAAGTGAAAAAAAGAAATTACACTATGTATTTAGGGAGTTCCAAGGAGAAAGAATGGATCAGCTTTACACACAAGAATCTTTTTTGTAGCAAAGCAAGATGAACAAAGATAAACAAAATAGCTTTTGTAGTTTAAAATTGAAATTGGAAGATTAAAGATATCTTAGTAAAAGCCAAAACTGGTTAGATAAAATCACTACTGTACTTTAATTTTAGCCAAGTCCTTTTTTGCTACAAAATGTCTTCAGCTGAAAATAAAGATACCAGTAAATATTTACAGTGCAAGAAATGATTGTGTAGAGTCTAAAGAATTAGCGGTTGTCATTTCAGAGGAAAATCTAAAATTGAACAACACATTTCTAAAGACAACTGGAAACATGAAGAAGACTTTCCATAGAGATCTCCCCTTCTGTTGATTACTAAGGCAGAATAATTTTCCAGGTCCCATCTTACACACTCTGGCAACCCGCAGCTATTCTGAATTATATAGATCCTTGTAACCTCAAACAGCCATGGGAAGGTTCTCCTGGATTCAGCGCTCACACAAAACATCAGGGGAGGGGGAAAGCTTTTAATACCATTGTCAAATTAACCGTTTACACCTCACTTGGAAGGGAGAAATCTGTAATGCTTTTACAGTGTTTGTAATCTCAAAGCAGGATTAACAGGCCTTTTAGTTTTTACACTGCTGTTTGTACGGCTTTCAGTAAGCTTATTGTTTGTGTGTTTGTATAATTATTATCAGACTGAATCAGTCCACTGCAGGATGAAAGCCTGTTTGCTGAAGATTATAGATTGTAATCTATCAAGTTGATCCAGTGTGGGTTGGTAGATAGATGTTTTTCAACTTCCCAATCTAGGGCTCAAGAAAAGTGACTGGCCCAAAGTCACCCGGCCACCTTCCATGACTAAGAGACGACTAGAACCTGAGTCTCCCCACTCCCAGTCCAGCACCTTAACCACTACCCCACACTGGTTCTCATATGCATATTTGAGTGTGAATGTGCACACGTACACACAACTGTTTGGATATCCACAAGTGAACAGCACATACATTTGTAAATAAAAATAATGAACAAACTGCATGCAGTTCCACCTATTTTTGGTACCGCAGCCATACCTGTGTGTAGAAAAAGCAAATCCTGTGATGCTACGGGAATGCACAGCTGAACTGATGACAGTATCTGGATTCTTTGTATCTATAAGTGCAATCATCCCACTTTCATCACCTTTGAAATATCAATGGAGAACAAATGGTTGGAGTTAAATGGGTTTTTAACATTGTAATATTTAAAAAGGATTTATAAAACACTCCTTACCCAATACAAAAGTGTCATTTTGATGTGGATGCCATACCAGTGAGGTAGAAAGGTTAGTAGAGGCATTGCAGGCTGAATATACGTGATGGGAGAAGAGAAAACTATAGTTAGATTTGAAAATCTATTTTATATTGCAGAGAAGACAACTGATTGCTAGCTAATACTCAAAAGAAAACACACACATATAGACATTTCTTCCTATAAACACATATAGCTAGCTTATTTCAAAAACTGCAACAATTCAAGTTCAAGACTTGCTTTTCCATCTAGAAATGCCTGATTTTTTTCTAAAATAAAAATACATTTAGAGAAGATTTATTCATTTATTTATTTCTTGCATTAATATTCTGCTTTTTCTTTGGGATTTAAGAGTGGAATTAGGAATTCCCTGATTTTATTCTCAAAGCTACCCTGGAAGGTTGGTTGGGTTGAGAATGAATCATTGACCATAAGTGACCCCTCTAATTGGAGAGGAAACTTGAACCAGGGTAGCATTTAATATACTATATTTTATGCTACACTCTTTCAACCTTGTATCTTTTGATTTTACTTTCAGACGGCCAAAATCTTAAAAAAAAGACAGGGATATAAGGGTGGGGGGAAGATACTTAAAGCTGCTTTCCAGAACAGTCTTGAGCACTTAGACTGTTTACTTGTTACAATACTTCTGAATCCTGCATGCACTTCTATAATAAGGACTATTTAATATAAAGAATTTTACAGTTCAGAATTGGGTTTCCTTATTGAACTCCATGATTCAAGTGATGCCCATCAGCTGCAGGTATCTACAATAAGCGCTGGGGAGTGAGCTGGCTTTCAGGCACAATGGTAAACCACTATAGCAGTGTTTCTTAACCTTGGTGACTTCAAGATCTGTGGACTTCAACTCCCAGAATTCCCCAGCCAGCCTGGATCCCCTTTCACACAATCCCACCTCAACTCCACTTTTCTCATTTTATTTACTTGGAATAATGTTATATTTCTGCATTCCACAACCAACGATTAAAGCCAAGTATGAATGTCCCAAGCTTTGATTTGAAGTGAGTTTGCAAACCATACTTTTCAGCAGTTCCACTTAACTTAATTATCATTAATTCCACTCTGTACATCTGTAAAATTACTCTACTGACTGGATTGAAAATCAGAGGATAGACTCCATGCATGAAAGAATTAAGCAAACTCTTAAAGCATTCCTATTATGAACTGGATTTTGTGATTATGATTTCTTCACAGGACAGTGACCCGATCAATGTTAAGAATGTATGGTTAGAAAAAAATGTTCTGTTGGAGACAACCACATTTCTTGCCAGTTATTAGATACTCATACACTCATACACACCTGGACGTGCACTTGGTGGAGGGGGGGTAGGACATCTCATTCACTGGATGAGATGTTCTACCCCCTTCACCAAGAAGTTTGTGTGCAGGTGTGTATGCGTGTACGGGTATCTAAAAACTGGCAAGGTATTCTTAGGACTCTCCAACTTGGCTGTTGGATTACCCACACAAAGGTTATCCCGTGGGGGTGGGGGGACCAAACACCAACATTATTCTATTTAAAGCAGAAACATTCCCACCAAACTATCAAACACAAGACATACCAATTCGAGCTGCTGGTTTTGGAGATCGTGTATCCCAGAGTAAAACCCTGCTGTCCTAAAAAAAGTGCAAAATTAATAAAACAGAATTAAAAGTGAAATTGTCAATCACAATATAAACTCCAGCATTCCAGTTTTGCCAGATTTCTCCCTTTCTTTGCCATGCTATTTATTATCCTTGTCATTCCCTTGATAATCTCAAATATTCCACTGATTTTTGCCTTTAGAATACAGAGATTAAGTCTGAACCTACATCTACAGTGATTCAAAAATAAAAAGTGGGCTTTACCTCAGCGCAGGACAGGAACACTGTATCCTTTCCAGGGCAGGAGGCCACACAGGCCACTTGACCAGAATGAGCTAGCCAAAATTAAAACAAAAAGCACCATATATCAAATTCAAATAAGTTTGCTTAAGAGTTAAATGAAAGATGCTCCAGAAAGCATCACTGGATGCACGCGTGAGACAAAAGCATTCCTCCACATAGGCAATTCAGAAGCGTTAGGCTGCTAAAAAGGTGGAAAAGAATAACACAACATATATACAATGTTCAAGCTCCATTAGCTATGAAATTCAACATATGACCATCCTCTCAGCCCAACCTGCCTTACAAGGTTGCTGTGATAATAAAATATGAAAGAGTGTACCACACGTCTTCTTCAATTAATGAAGCAACAATGGAATACTGCAATAAATTAATACACAATGGAAAATGAGGAGTCATAAACAGGATTACTTAAGGAATGAGAGTACTGCCAATTCAGACACAAAACCAACTTGAACCACATTCCCAAGAGATAAGAAAATATCCCAGAAAGACAGGATGAAATAATTGAGTAAGGAAGTATAAGGCAAGCTTGACACTTACCTCTATATGTGCTAAGTACTGTTTGTTGAGGGATGTCCCAGATCTTCACACTAGACATAAAATTCAGATCAGGTTTAAGAAAAAGCATAGATGTTTTTATTTAAAGCAGAAAAACAACATCACAAAAGAGTCACCTGAAATCTTTGCTGCCACTGATGGCCTGTGTGTTGTTGGAAAGGACACTCACGGTGGTCACAATGTCATCATGCTCGTATTTGCAGAATTTGTTCACTATCAGAGTCTCGTTCTCATCCAGCTCCCAAAGTTCCAGAGCACCTGGAGAACAGGGGAGGAGAGAGACAAATTCATACACTGCAGCTGGCATTATTTGGTAAAAAAAGAAAAAAGCCCCTAACCAGTTTATATCCATGTCTCAAAATATTTCTTTTTGTTCAATTTATATAGCTACCCATCTCACATATGTGACTCTGAGCAGCTCACATAGTTAAAACAAAAACAAGAAGCAATACAAAGAAACAATCAAAACAAAAACTATTAAAAGCAAATTAAAACAATGAAAAACCACTAAAATTCTAAAACAATCCATGGGAAAGTGCAGTCCATACATTACAAACAATGCAACTATTTTGAACGCTCCACACCAGGCATGGTGGCAAAGCCGGTCTTCAGGACCTTTTGGAAGGCAAACTGGGTCAGGGCCAATCTAACCTCAGGCTGGGATGATGTTTCAAAGGGCAGCTGGCGCAGCAGAAAAGGCTTTCCTTTTGAGTCCCATCGGAAGACACTCCTTAATAGACAGGACCCACAACATGCCTTTTCTGCCAGACCTAACGGGATAGGTAGATGTAACCAGGGAGAGGCAGTCCTTCAAACAACATGGCCCCACGCCAAGCATTGGGTACCACTAATCAATAAACTATAATTTACAAACTACAATGATTGGATTCACAGAACAAGCTAAGTCAAAAAGAAATAAATGACCCTACCACGAAGGACAATCCAGTGATTAAACTCCAAAACGGGTAACATTCCTTAACATTATCAGTGCTTGGAAGGACTGTGGAATCTACTAGATTCAGCTGTTGAACAGTACAATCTAATACTGTCAAGTTTTACTCCAGATTCTGCCTTTGGCTTCCTCAGCAACTGAATTAGTTTATTTGCAACCATTATTTCTGACACACCAGAACTAGGAAAAATCAAATGGAATTTTGCTAGACTTTTCTTATGATTGGTTGAGAAAGGCAAGTGGACTTATGTGGGCCCAGCTTCCCCTGGCTGGGTACTCTACAATATAGCAACCCAGGTGGCATGTAGGGAGTTGGTGTGGCTATAATCTGTAAAGAACATCTCCCTTACCAGGATAATGGAGAGAAAATTGGGTCATACTATGTGTACCTCACTTTTGGAACTAGAGAAAGACTGGGGATGTTATTAGTGTACTGCCTGCCCTACTGCCTAACAGAACCCCTGACTGAGTTGAGAGCTGGTCTTGGAGTTGGTATTAGAGATCCCTAGGCTTATAGTGCTGGAAAATTTCAATATCCATTTTGGGGTTGATGTCCCAAGTGGTTCAGGAGTTCACACCAGCCATGACAATGGTGAGCTCTTACTGACTGGTAACAAGGCCAATCATGATGCAAGTCACATGCTTGATTTGATGTTCAGATTAGGGAGACATTCCTTGGGAGTGGGTACCTCAGGTTTTCCTACTGACATGGACAGATTGCTATTTTGCTAAGGCCAGCTTAGTGTCTATATCTCATTTTTGTAGGGGCACTGGTCTAAGAGATCTATTGATACCACTGACCATTGTGTCCTTCGGGGCCACCACTTGGGAATATATGATACAGCCTTATGGTGGCTTTCTTCTCATCTCTCAGGCAGATTTCAGATACTGCTGCTTGGAGACACTGATCCTTAAAACAGGATATACTACAGTGTCCCTCAGGACTCCATTCTGTCTCCAGTGCTTTTCAATTCATGAAACTGCTGAGGGAGGTCACCAGGAAATTTGGAGATGGGTGCTGTCAGTATACTGATGACACCCAATCCATTTCTCTGTGACATCTTCATGAAATGGTGTAGCTCTCCTGCATGCCTTCTTGTAGCCAGTAATAAGCTGAACTGAAACTGAACCCAAATAAGGTACTCATTGTTAGGGGTTATAATTCCAGAAAGATGGTAGATCTGCCTTTTCTGATGAGCAGAGTCTCCCAGAAAGTATACTGTTTGGGGATGTCCCTTGACCCAAATCTACCTCTAGTTTCCCAAACTGAGGAAACAGTCAGCAGTATCTTTTATCAACTTTGGTTCGTAAGCCAGAAAGTGACCCTTTCTGGAAGATGAGCTTAAAACTGTGGTGCAGGTGCTGGTAATCTCCAGGCTCCATTATACATTCTACAAGGGGCTGCGCCTAGTCCAGAAACTTGAGTTTGTACAAAACTTGGCAGCTAGGTTTGCCCCGGAAAGAATGTAAAGAGACCGTGTTACACCTGTGCTTAAAGCACTGCAGTAGCCAATTCATTTCTGGGCAAAATAAAAAGTACCGTTTATTACCTTTAAAGCTCTACAAGGCTTAGATCCAGGCTATTTGACAGAACACCTCGTTTCACACGAATAACCATGCTTTTGCAGATCATCTGTGTCAGTGTGGCTAAAGATGGTGAGAGTCTGAGTCAGGATCAAGCCTTCTCTTTTACAACCTCAGCTCATTCCCTGCAGGGTTGGGTCTAATATCTTCATTTTTTTTTAAAAAAAAAAGCCATTAAAACACATGTTTGTACAGGATTTTAAATGTTGATTTTAACAGTTGATTTTAACTATGTTTGTTTTAAGTGCTATATTCAATATTTTTAACATCTGCATTTTAAATCTGCTTTTGAACTGTAAGCTGCTGAAAGATTTCAGTACTGAGCAGTATGTCAAATTTAATAAACAGCAATTTGTTCAAGTTGCTCAGTCGTGATATACAGTATCTTGATTTGCTCCATCAGAGGTTCACTGAAATATTGGATAAACTAAACTATGATAAAATGCAGGTTCATCACAAAACAAGAAATTGCCCAAGCACTCATAGGAACCTTCAATAATTGTTACAACATTGGCTGTTTGGCCAGATCACACATATGGAACGGAAAAGCCTAGAGTCACTTGTATAGTGAGATGGGTGGTATATATAAATTTGAAAAATAAATAACATAAATAAATAAAAGGCAAAGAGAAAGCAGCCATTTTTAATTTGTCACTGGCTTTAAGGAAGAAATAAAACAAAATTCCACGCTTGCATTTTGTATGCAAGCTCCATTGTCCAGTTCTTCTGAAACATTCTGTTTTTCTATAGGATCATTCTGCTATTTTCTGGAAGTGATTCTTCCAAAATGGGAAGTAGTTTTCAACATTCTAGAATCAGCATGTTCTAGGAAATCTTGGAAAGTTTTGTAACTTTTGTCTCTTCATCCTATCTTGGCCGCTATCTATAAGCCATAGCAAGTTTCAGGAGACAAATGTCTCTTGATGCTCACCTGAATCTGAAGCTACCAAGATTCCTTTGTCTGCTACCCATTTCAGATCTGCTATTCCTGCTTCAGTTTGTACACCCGCAGAGCAAAAGCCTTCATTAGGAGCTTTTGATGGATCTTTGAACACCCAAATGGAACCAACCCAGCAACGTCCACTCAAACTGGATGCTCCCAGGAGCAGAGAACCATCTGCAAAACAGAATTAAAACAGAGATCAGTGTAATAAACAACTTTAGTGTACTGTGAATAAAGCAAAGATCCGAGTTTTGCATTTTAAAACCACCCAGGGTCTTTGTTTTCAGCCCAGAAACCTGCTCCAAGGGAAGGGAAGTTTTGTCTTGAATGATATTCCTAAATCCTTAATCCAGTTATGGATTCTACTCATAGTGAAGGAGGAAAGCACTGGTTTTTCTGCATACAATCACAATTTACCAAAAAGAGTGGAATAAATTTATGAAGTACCATAAAAATACGAAGCAGTTAATGGAATGCTGAGGACAAATGTATATCTCAAGATGGCACCAAAAATGTCTGAGTACTAGAGAGGAGTTCATTCAAAGATGACTTAGCTTTTTGTCAAGGTGGAAATGTAGGCTCAGAGTTTACCAAACTGTTACTTAAGATTATTTTATACCCAAGAAAGAAGCAGGGCATTATTGTTCAACTTACTTAAGCTTTGAATCTGATTTTTCAATGACAAGAGTTTATCCCTCTTTAAACAGCAATAAAAAAGGCCTGTTGAACACAGGAGGAACAGCTTCAACCAACATTCACATATGGAGAACCTTCACATATGGGGAAAAGCTATTTTTCTTGAATGCTTCATTCCAATTTTAGGAATGAAGTACTAAACAGGAGTGCGCTGATACACAACTATAGAAACAGACCAAAGTGCAGTGGTTGCTACTAGGGAGGATATCATCTAGGGCAGCGGTTCTCAAACATTTTGGTTTCAGCACCCTTTTACATTCTTAAAAATGACTGAGGACCTCAAAGAGCTTTAGTTTATGCAGGTTATATTTATCAATGTTTGCTGTATTAGAAATTAAAACTGAGAAATTTTAAAATATTTGACTTTGCAGACCCCCTCAAAGGGTCTCAGAGACCCCCGGGGTCCCCAGACCATACTTTGAGAACTACTGATCTAAGGTACCCTTGCTCAATCTAGGATCTCTGCACCTGCCACTGTCAATCCTTTCATCCCTGGCCACCTGTTGTGTAGGATAGGAGTTATAGGCAAGGATAGTTGGAGTCCAAAGTGTGGGAAGGCTGATCCCACAGCAGGAATTTTTCAGTACTCAGTAATGATTCAGAACATCAAGTGGTCGCAGGACAATCCTTAGTAGGTTTCTGCCATTTTTTAAAAAGACGAACAACAGAAATTGCAATAGGTTTTAAAGGTTTTAAAAGGCAAAGGTTTTAAAGTGTGTATGTTGAACAATACTATAGAAAATATATTTACAGAATGAAACTCGGCTCACAGCAAGCACATCGGGAGAAACAGCCAATTTAAGAGATGCTCCAGCTGAGAGCGGGGCTCTTGAGAAACATAACTTGGGTGTCCACAAAGTATAAGACATTTCGGTTCCCAAGCCACAACAGCCGCCTAAGAGGCCCAAGTTCTCTCAGATATGTAGGCTCCAGACTTCCTCAGCTCGTCGCCTTCCAGATGTTCCGGGCTACACCTCCCATTATTCCCAGGCAGCGATGGCGAGGAGAGTTGTAGCAAAGGGCACCTGGGGACACCAAGTTGGTAAACGCTCACGAGGGTACCTGTTCGATAATGGGCCCCGTCCAGGTGGCGCTCCATGCAGGCGGGAGCGTTGGGCGGAATGTTCCATTCAGACCCGGCTTCTGCCTCTACTGCCTGCCCGGGGCTCGGCTTGCCTTCTTCCATGGCTGCAGCGGCGAAATGCGGTCCAGCAAACTCCAAGCACGCCCACGTGTTCCAAAAAGCCACCCGTACCGCCCTGATAGTCCTCTCCCTTATCTCGCGAGAATTTCCAAGATGCCTTACAGGCGGGATTCAAGCCGGTATAAGCTTTTCTCGCGAGATTGTCCTAGACTAAAGACTCAAACTCTATGGAGAACCATATAGAACAGTGTTTCTCAACCTCAGCAACTTAAGCTGTGTGGACTTCAGCTTCCAAAATTTCCCCAGCCAGGAGAATTCCCCATGCTGGCTGGGGAATTCTGGGAGTTGAAATCCACACAGCTTGTTGCTGAGGTTGAGAAATACTGAAATAGAAGGTAACTTAATTGAAGAATCGAGAGATGGAAGTGGCCATTTAGTTTATGGAGCTTCAGCCCTTCTTAGTGGAAAATTAAGGTATCCCAACAGAGGGCTGCCATGCCTGTGCTTGAATGTATCATGTGAAGTGGAGCCTGCCACTTCGAGTAGTTGATTCCACTGATCTTATTAGGAAGCTATCTCTTAATATTCAATCAGGATTGACCCTTTTGTGATATCAATTCATGGTTTTGTGCCCACACTTTGCAATGAGGGAGAACAGGGCTATAGGTGGCCATTACCAATCATAATAATGTCAAAATGATAAAAGGTGTGTCATGAAATCACAGTGCAAACCTTGTCCTTTTTGTAGCTGCATTACACTGCTGACTCATACTAATGTGCAATCAACTACTAGCCCAAGATACCTTTCACAAGTACTTTTGCCAGGCCAGGTGTCCCCCACTCCAAAGTCCTAAGTGAAAGTGTTAAACTGCATTCTCTCTGCAGCACTCCTCTTCAACCTATCAATATAATTTGAATCACCATTTATCAGGTGTGATTGTTGTAAGAATAATTGGGTAGGTGGATTAGCTGTCTGTAATTATAGAATTTTAGAAGGTGGCTACACTACAATACTGTTGTAAATAGCTATAAATTGGGACTTTCTGGTACATTACTTTACCAAGTGTTCATAAATAAAATTTCACTGTTCTGCTATGCAGTACATGAATAATAGTAGGGGAATGTATTTTAATTTTACATAGCTGCTCATTTATTTTGATTTTGATCGTAAAGGCCTTGGAAGTTCATGTTTTGTAAATAAAAAAATAAAATAGTGGTATTGGCTTGTCTTGAGCTGCTCTCAGCTACAGCCTGGAAAATGGGAACAATGGTACATTTAAGTTGTGGGGTGATATCGACCCTTGTGTTTTATAGTGTCAGTTTGTCATTATTTAAAATGTTCTTATCAGGTTAGTTTTCACTCAAAATTAAACCTGAAAAAGAACATAAGCTTTCAGGTTTGGGCTTCCTTTGTTGCAAGCATGAATAATCTCCAGTCTCACCCATGCTAACATCTGAATTAAAGTCATAAGCATCCAGTACAAGCCCTGATTGCATGATGTGCATCATGATGTCATTGCAAAAAGGATGCAAAGGATGCAATTTGCACCATTGGCACGGCATCACCATGATACACATTCTCTCTCTCTCTCTCCCTGCCTATGATTTCAGCTGTGTTTTCTATGCAATGGAATTCATTGGCTGGATTCATACTTGATTGAAAGTCATAATGAATAATGTTCTCAGGCCTTAACAGCTTGCTGAGCAGTATTAGGTTTCAAAGCAGGCGAGGGGAGCTTGGATCTGTCACAGACACCTTTCCTGTTGCATCGGCTGCTCATTAAAGTAAGCAAGACATGGCATGGCTTCTTTAAAAAGCAACCAACGGGTAGGGGGAGAGTGCCTACCACGCGAGACCCAAAGCAGCAAGGATGACTTCTGCACGTTGTTTAATAACCGTGCATGAACCTGGCTGATTATGCCAATTAAAACAATCCATAGTTAAGCAAGCCACAGCTTAGCTCAGTGTGTAATATCGGGGTTTGAATGGTAGTTGGCAGGACTCCAGAGATACACCTGTATCCTGCGTCCACCAAGAGATTTGTCCTGCGACTTGGTCGAACTTTTTTAGCTCTACGGTTGTCTTATATAGGTTGCATTGGCGTAGCTCTGTGGTGACAGTCCCTGGGTCGGAGGCGGTGCTAGGAGGACAAAGCGAGTCAGGTTTTCTCGCGAGACTTTCCTGACAGAGACGGCCATTTTAGTGCTGCGGCTGCGGCTGCGGGGGTCATAGGGACATCGGACAGCGCGGCGGAAAGTATGATGCTCTCTCGGTTGGCGTTGCGCGCCCTGGGTGAGTGAGAGAGGGGTGTCTCAGGGGGCGCGGGGCCGGGGAGGGGTTGTGCTGTGACCTGACCCGCTCTTTTTGCTCTCTGCAGCCCCGGCCGGCCTGAAGAGCTCGGTGGCGCTGCCCTCCCTGTCGCCGGGGTAAGTACAGCTGGGCCAGGTACCCGGGACCTTGCGGGAAAGGGAGTGAGACCTGCTAATGGCCTTGGGGGAAAAGCGGTCGGGCATCGGGGTCTTCTCTATTAGCAATACTAGTTTGCCACTGCCTCAAGTGACCTCTTTCTGACCCACACCTCAAATGACAAGGCCCTTTTGGTTGAAAGCGTTAGTTGAATGAATGAACCCCGCAATTGGTCAGTGGCGCTTGAGTATATTTCCTATGTTATATACGTTGATGCAAAATAAGAAAAGGCCTCCAGGATTATTATCACAAAATAAGGGAAACAAAAATACCGCTTGCTTTAGTTCAGTGGAATTGAGAAGTGTGGAGAATTGCTCTGGCTACTAGTAGCCCAGCAACAAAGAGCTTTGAAAAACGTACTGTGGAGCATACGTTTATTCAGGTCTGGTCTCCATTAGCTATAGGAAGGGTGATCTTTGTATTACAAATTACAATTATCTTTGTGCAGATGTAATTTTGCATGGTAATAGTGAATATTGATTAAAATGTTTGTATTCATAATGTTCATTATCCAAGTTTTTATCTTTATTTGCTTTTGTTTATGAACTTTAAAAAAATTGGGTAGTTATTTTTAGGAAAAAAACAAAATATTGAACATGAGACCAATATTGTATTCACTGTGTAAAAGATCAGTTGGGAAGTTTGTATAACATGGCAAGGCATAATGAAGCTTACAGATGCTCAAAAAACATGCTGGCTTCTCCCATGACAAAACATGGCTGACAAATAATGAATGAAATAGTGTGCTGTGCAAACCAGGAATCCAGATTTTCTTTTAGGAACAGATGTAGTTTTGAATACTGTCAAGAAAATAATAACTGCTTAATCTCAACTAAAATATTTGGAAGGATTTTGCAAAGTTAAATGGCTTTTTTTAATTACAGCATGATTCAGATATCAAGATCACTTCACACAAGTCAACAGCACTTGGCTCCAGTGCCATCTCGTCCAGAAACAGGAGGAAAAGTCCGCCATGGAATAATCCCTGAAGAATTTTTCCAGTTTTTATATCCTAAAACAGGAGTCACAGGTATAAGTTTGTGAGACTTCTAGCATTTATTTAGTGGACTTTATCCCTGATTTTTCAAAGTACTACGTACTTCATATATGCATTTATGAAGATTATAGAGGTGGTGTCATTATCGACGGAGGGATTTAATGCCAGAATGTTTTATTATACCAATCATTGGCAGTGAAATAAGGATAAATAGTATGAATATATGGATTTATTTTTGCATTATGTATTTCAACTCAATTGTGTGTGGCAAATACAGACTTGTGCAATGAATTTTTGAATGCATGTATTTATTGTTAGCAAATAGCCAGACAGCCGTAATAAAAACTCCTGGAGGCCTAGGGCAACACTCTCCCACACATCAGCATTCCACCTTTCTAGGCTCTACCCTTGTCCTACACCAATACTTGTGGAACTGCCAGCTCTTCAAGGTCTTCCAGATTTCTGAGGGAATGGTGTTCCACAGGGCAGAGGCAAGTACGAAGAAGGCCTGCTTCCTATGTCCCACTAGTTGACAACAATTAAAGGATGTGCTTAGGGCACACCCACCCTATCTGACTTGGTGGGATGGGCAGTCCTACAATTTTTTTTTTAAATCTATAAATATATTTGTAGTTAAGCCCGTGCATCTATCAGCTCCTTTTGAGCATAACATTTCAGAGCCCTCCTCATTCCTTTTATTGTGTGGAAGAGCCATTTCACAAGTTGGCTATATTATGATTAAAGAACCAGTTTGGTGTAGAGGTTAAGCACCAGGCTAAAGACAGGGAGACTGAATTCTAGTCCCACCTTAGGCACAAAGCCAGCTGGGTGACCTTGAGCCAGTCACACATGTTCAGTCCTAGGAAGCAGGCAATGGCAAACTGCTTCTGAAATCTTGCCAAGAAAACTGGCAGTCCAGGCAGTCGCCAGCAGTCAACACTGACTCATATAATGATTAGCATTTTAGAGAAGATGGTGAAATGATAAAGCCCGTGAAATATTAGTTCATTTTTCTCTTAATTGAAAGGAATGTTAGGCTTGTTAAAATTGTTTAATTGCTATATGTATTAACTTTATTACAGTCAATTAGACCAGTACAATATTAAAAGAAAGGGAAAGACATG